GAAAATTGCAGACATAATCTACTTTAAGGTTGTCTCATTTAAGGTGATTCGTAGTTCTATATCAAAGAAATCAAAATGGGTGGCTTTAGAGCAGTATTACAAAGTGTTTTAAATAGTCTTTTCAATATTTGAGTCCATTCTATTAACAATTAATTAACAAATTAGAATGCCAGTTCATCTTTTTGGACCTTTTCTTGTGTATTAACTTTATACTTTTGTTCACCATTGCTGTTTTGAAATTAAGTACTGTCCTGTAGTAAAAGAGTACAGCTTGATTAGATGTATAAATAAAGCATATAAAGACATCGCTTGTATCTTAATAACAGGCAACAGCTTGGTCTGTCAGCATGTATGTTCTTTCCAACTTTTAAATTCTTCCTCAACAGCAAGCAATAAATCCCACACTCCAAAAGTAAGATTGTATATTGGCATGTATTTTATTGTATGTGTTTATTAATTTTTTGTGTATAATTTAAATTATTTGTGGAAAAACTATTACACATAGACTGGTCTAGTGCATATGCAATATCATTCGTAAAAAAACCCAGGTATTTTCCTTTCAGCTTCAATTAAATGGTGCAGGTCTGGAAGTTATATATAAAGATAAATCAGGCATCTCAGACAGTTGGAACTGAACTAGCTCAAGGGGTAACTCTGTTTTTCTTCTTTCTTCCCCAGATAAAAATTACTCACAAGAACCAAGCCCCCATGTTGATGGGACCACCTCCAAAAACTGGTCTTTTCTCTTCTATCATCAAAAGAACAAGGAACCACAGCAAGGAATAAGCCTATGTAGTTTAGTTTAAATTAAAAAAAAACAAAATCAATTAGCTTTGTTGGGCTTTGGAATATTTATGCTGGGAATCTTTCAAGAATTTTAGAATATCTTCTATTTGCAAAATCTTGGATTTTGGTTTAACTGTTCTGTAGCTGAGCTGATGTAAAACTATGCTACTAGAAAAAAATGTTGTCACAGTTTTGTAGGCATTTTGCATGATGAAAGCAGATGTTTACATACAGTGATACAGCATATTTTTTTGTTGCATGCGTTACCATTTACTAATCTGTGGTCTAATTTTGCCATGGAATACGGGAAGAGAATGTCATGGATAATTTGATTTTCTCTCTGTTCTGTTTCAGCTTTTTCTACTACAATAACCATATGCCATAAGTTCAATAGTATCTCTTCAATCAAACATCTTTACACGAATAGTCAATCTGACCTGTTTCAGAGTAGAATCATTGCAGGTCTCATTAACCTGTATTTTTAGTTTATAATTTCTTTCTATCCTGAGAATATTTTTATTCAACAGTATAAGTATTAAAATCCTGTAAGTTATTCTGATAACTCCTATGTACATGAGTAACTGTACCTGCTGAAAACATCTAACAATATGCACAGTATAAATGGTCATGATTGTTCTTGTATAAGTTAGATAAAGTTTTTGTTAAGATTAAAAGTTGATGAAAGTTTGAGCAAAAACTTCGGGACTAAGAAGATCATGCTGAGTGAAGATAACAATAATTGCAAAACTAGCCATCAGTGTTTGTTGAAATCCTAGAATTATTTTCATAAGCAATACATCTCTGTAACATGGCAAACCTTAAATCATTCTCCACAAAGACCAATAGCATAGTGCATATGCACACAAATAACCAAAGCTCATGCCTAATTAAAGTGCATTTCCCACCAAAGATTTAGTGAAGGATGCTTCAGAGAAATGGGTTAATGCATAATTAATCAAACTCACTAGAGTAGACTCACTTCTGAAAATTTACAGTTCTTCTGATTGCATTGTCAAATGTCCAGACAAATGTTTGGGTAGGGAAAAACATTAAATTAATTTCAAGTAAATACTCACTTTTCATTTGTTTCATAAGTTGATTGACATAGGAACATATGCTAAATATTGATACATAGATACAAATTAAATATTAGAAAACTAAACATATTTTTTATGTCATAATAATTTATAAATTCATGCTATCCATAATTACTCATCCCCTAAGTTAATTGCTCAAGGAAACAATGACCTGTTGCCTATTACCCTTTTGTAGTCTGCTATCTGAAATCCAGACATTTCTTGTCATAATTTTGGTGAGGCAGTTGCTCAGGTTTTAACTTTCTTAGCTCTCTGAGAGACTTCCTAACAGCTTAGAAATCATAATACAGGGATTTGCCTGAGGTTTGCACAGCACTGTCTAATGTTGAAGGGAAGTCGAAGAATGGCAAATTTTTTCAGTCTTGCATATAAACAATCTCAAGCAAAACTTTTTGTGCAGTCTTAACATTGTTCTTTGTTCAGAGTGAGCTGCTTCTCAGCTCTGCATGTCTTAAGTTCTCAGAGATTTCATAAAAAAAAACAAGGAAAAAATAAAATTTTGCTTGAAATGCATGATTTCCCATTTTTATCCAGACTTTAAAATGTTAATTATTTATTAAATCTATTTTTCTATTGATTCATTCATCCATTTAAAAAAATAATACTTCATCATGCTGTAGTGCACGGTACTGTGCATGTATTTAAATAAAGTTACTATCATTTGTTCCTCAGTATAAGAATTCAACAGAGTCCTAATTTATATAATAGATATTAAAATAAAAGTCAGTATATAGCTGGTAAGGATTATGTCTTTGAAATATACAGTCTATGTTCTGTAAACATTAGGAGGTAAATGCCAATTAATGTTTTGTTCAGCATTAGGTAGAAAAATATGAAGGTGATTATTCGCTAAAATTAAGATCTAGTAATTCACCATTCTTGGGTCCAGTGGTGTTGACATTTACAGTTACCATAGGAGTAAACTAGTATTTTTCCTGTGCATTGCAAAAACACACACACACAGAAGCATTTGATGCACTGAACTACAAACATGCATAAGTATAGAGCAAAGGTTATTTGCAAAAAGAAGGAATTTGCTGATATAATATTACGTAAAGTGTATATTGGTTTTATGAAATTATGGTTACAGGTGATAAATATTTTCACATAACTTGACATAGAATTTTCTACCAATGCTCTCAACTTTTTTGTGGCAAAAATGTGTTTAACAACAATATATAATGTGTTCTCTATGATTATCTCATGAACATTGTAACTCTGAAAACAAATAAAATTATACATAAGCTATTACTAAATAATGTATGCAATTTTAAATGTGTCAGTCTGTAATAGCAAGTTGGTCACAACACACATTTTTATATAAAGAGGGATAGATGAGTCCATGCCATCAGAATTACATACAATTCTGAATAGACATAAAAAGTAAATCAGATCTGCTTGTTGGTTTGTATAAATTTTCACTGTAACATAACAGAACAGAGCAGCCATTATACTGAATTAACAGTTTTCATAGCAGAGACTGTCTTTCTGTTAATCTTGGTTGTTTGGGTTTTTTAGCATGACCTCTAATAATTTCAAATCATCCTCAGGTTGAAAGTATTGATGGTGAAAAGAAAAAGTAGAGGAAACATATTATGAAAAGAAAATGGTGTATTAAATGAAAAAGAACTTAAAAATGAAGGTTCTTTTCTTCACTTCAATATGCACAGAGCTAATATGAAATTATTCATTCGTGAAAGGAAAGAAACAAAGAATATATGCATATCTCTACATACAGCTCAAATAGAAGCACTGTTCCTAGGTACACTGAAGAAGGTATCTGCAAATCTTCTACTCTTTACAATGAAACATTCCTTAAGGCTTCATTAATGACATTTGCAATGTAAGTGACAAGTAAAATATATAGGTATTAAACATGACACTAGATTTGCAACTCTGTGATCATTGTGTGTCAACTGGGCAGTGTGCTGACAAAAGAGCATGATGTCTCAGGAAAACTTTTAACTTCTAATATTGGTCAGTCTCTCTCATTTCACATGAGTTCCTGTTAAAAAGAAGTGGAAGAATTTCTTGCAGAGACAAATACAGAATTACTGTTTCCAGTACTTTTAAGTACATTTGCTCACTCTTATCTTAATCTTCTCTAGGATTGCATGTACATCACAACAATGACTAGCTAATATCCAAAATCATTTAAAGCAAATAAAGTTACAGATTTCAGCATGTTTCACAATATCATTGTAAAACAGAATATAGTCAGCTGTGGTATGAAAGGCAGAAAAATCCCTTTTTTATTTTTCTAAATCTTTAGGTTACTATTTGTTTTCCAAGATTACGGCATTTTAGTGATTATTAATGATTTAGGGTACTAATGGTATTCTACAAGTTACTGCCTTTAACCCCAAATGGCTTCTGGGGCTTGTAACTGAGGCAGACCATAGCAAGACCAAGACTTTGAGAAACAGATACTTCGGAGAGGTGTCCCTCACCTCCCTGTGGGAGTGACTGGGGAGAATGGAAGAATTATCTCTAGACAAGGAAGTAGGAGAAGATCAGAGAGCTCTGCTATGGAACGAGGAAATAAAGTGAAGCGAGGTGCAGTGTGAGCCACAGAAATGTTTGTAGGTGACCTGGGAGGCCAGATGAAGGCACTCAGAGCTAATGAGCAGCAATGAGCTAGATGAATGGGTTAATTACCTTTATCTAGAGAGCCCTTCCATTTAAGGCTAAAGGAGTAAAGTAGTATTTCCTTGCTTTGAATGCAGAAAGACCTTGAGAAATTTGGGCTGAAGTAGACAATACTACCGGGCCCTTCAGGGGAAGTGAGCAGGACTTGCAAGGAAAGGGGAGCTGAAGGATTGTTGAGAAACAGATACTTCGGAGAGGTGTCCCTCACCTCCCTGTGGGAGTGACTGGGGAGAATGGAAGAATTATCTCTAGACAAGGAAGTAGGAGAAGATCAGAGAGCTCTGCTATGGAACGAGGAAATAAAGTGAAGCGAGGTGCAGTGTCATCCACAGCAATGTTTGTAGGCGACCTGGGAGGCCAGGTGAAGGCACTCAGAGCTAATGAGCAGCAATGAGCTAGATGAATGGGTTAATTACCTTTATCCATTTAAGGCTAAGGGAGTAAAGTAGTATTTCCTTGCTTTGAATACAGAAAGACCTTGAGAAATTTGGGCTGAAGTAGACAATACTACCGGGCCCTTCAGGGGAAGTGAGCAGGACTTGCAAGGAAAGGGGAGCTGAAGGATTGTCAAAAGAAGGTAAAGGACTTTATCTCTGCCTTTCATACCCTGAAAAAAAAAAAAATTGCCTTTGCAAAATAGCAGTTTGCCAGGCTACTAAATGGTTAGCCTGAAAATAAATAAATAAATTTAGAAAGCTGAGGTGGGCCAGAGGAGCACAGCTCAATGTTTTATGCAAGAGCGGTGAAGAACGTGTCAGCCTGTTGTCAGCTAATTGCTGCTTGTCTCCAGCTCCATCAGGTCTGAAAGCATTCTGTTTTCGCTCTGTCCATAAGGAAGGAAACTTCTTGTGGTCCTGCTGAGGTGAGTAAAAGCCTTACTGTAGCCCTGACTGGAAAATGAATAAAACATGGACGAGACCTGGAAGCTGTTAATGAGAAATAAAGTAATAGCTTAAGATCTGTGGCGTGTGAGGCGCTGAGGGTGTGCTGTGCAGCAAGGACTGAGGTGGAAACTGTCCTCATGTCTACCAGGGTTTGCTGATGTCTGCCCAACCTGGGCTTGTGCCATGGGGAGCCTGATGGCTCTTATTCCTCGTTTTTATTCAGACTATGGGTTTTCAGTTGGTCTTGAAATAAGGGGGTTTCACCTTTTCTGGTTTGTGTGTGTGTGAAGGTTATCAGGTTCTCTTAATTTTACAAATACCTCTGAAGAAGAGAAACTTCACTATGACCATTGACTTCCATTATGTGAAAATGCCTGACAGCTTGAAACTATTAATAGGCGAGGATACTTCTAGGCATCTAGAGTCTGGGTATGATGATATTCAGGGCTGCTTTCTTTCCTTTCTGATTCATGATTCAAAGAGACTCACTGAGAAGCACCTCAGGGCTCTCTTTAAATGTGACTCATACAAAGAGTAAGTGTTCATCAGGCTTTGTTATTTATATTAAGGGGGTTGATGGTAAAGAAGCAGATTCATGTGAGGTACCCACTCTAATAAACATGGAAAATAATGTACCAGCTCTGAGTGAGAAGTAAAGATTTTGAAGTTTTTGGGTCATTTTTTGTACTAGTGTTGATATGAAGATACTTAGCTGCTGGTGGACCTCTTTGAAATAAACTTTTGGTTGGTTGTTTTTTACTGTGAAGGAGCACAGAAATTTGCATTAATAAGCTGCTTTTTTGGACAGGGAAGTGAGCACTTCTTACTCTTTTGGTGAAAACCATCTTTATGAGCCAAGTTGTGCTGGCTAATAAGAAATTGTCAATCTTCAGGGCTGTCATTCTATTTACATTAAGTATGCAAAAAATAGCTCAGGCAATCAAAGCACATGATAACAACTATTCTGTAAATTATTTGTACCTGCAGAGAGAGATTGGTGATAGCTCTGTCCCTTGGTGAGGTGGACATTGCAACATGAGCATTGTCACTGTAACTTCTGCCCAGCCATGAGATTAGCTTTTGCAAAGGATGTGGTGTAGGCTTTGTTGGTGTGATGGTTTCTTCTTTTGTTGGGTTTTTGAGTAAATATGGATGTGTTCTAAAACTCTCTTTTTATCCCAGAATGAAAAGAACTGAAACTCTGATTCAGATAGATATATGTTTATCATACACACATATGTATGTAAGCAAGTAAATGCAGGAAGATCTATTTCATCTAAATTGAACTTTACTTCCATATGTTTCAATTCAGTCCATTATTCAAGTTAAAATGAAAGAACCTGTTAATTTAGGTAGCTTTAGAGAATTTCAGGGGGGAAATGGGTGTGTTGGACTTTTCTTATCAGTAGTATGACCTTGTTACAACAATATATACATGTAGATTAAGGAACTTTTACCTCATTGATATCAATCATTGTTTTCTTTTACTGTAATCTGAATACTTATGGGGTTTTCTTGTTGTTTGTTTTGTTGTGTTGTTTGGGTTGGGTGTTTTTTTTCTGGAAAACTACCTAAATCTTTCTTTTAATGTTTCAATACAAATAGATTGAAAGAAGCTTTGAAAGATTTGGTCCAGCTGCCTGATTTACAGAGTAAGCTTGGACTGAGATGCAAATTCAGGCCTTCATATTTTGTCAGTAGTGCTGGTCAAAAATTCCTTAACTTCTGTTTCATCCAAATTCATTCAATTGTGTGGAAGAACCTACCTTCCCTAATCAGTCCGCTTTTTCACTGGATTCCTGTTTCAGAGCAAAATAAGACTTACCTTTTAAATGTCAAAATATTTTGTCCTTGAATGTTAAAAGGAAATGTAAAGTTTTGTTTGGTTCATTATTTCTGGTTCATTAATGTAGTGATTAGCATTATAGTATAACTGACTTTTCATTTTAAAAAGAAAAATGTTAATAAAATGATGCTATTTTTAATTCACTACAAAGATAATTACTATTTCCTTTAAGAAAAAATTTCAGTTCTTGTACTTGTTCAAGATCCTGCAATGAAATTTTCAACCTTTGTGCCTCTACAATTGACAGCAGAGTAAAAGGCTGCTCATCAAATTCTAGTATTTATTTTAAGTACCTGCATTTTTGATATTCCAGTAAGTACACATCTCCTAAGTATTACATTCAAGGAGTTGCTTTCTCATTGTTTCTCGTTTTTCAGATGAATTTGTCAGAACAAGTCTGCATGGTCACTGGAGGGAAGAGAAATTATGTTATTAAGTTATCCTAATTATTATAAAATAAGTGAATCACAGAAGAATATTTTAGAGTAGGCATTGTAAAACAAGTTATTGGCAAGATCTATTTAATCTAAATGGAACTTTACTTCCATATGTTTCAATTCAAGGCAGGTACAATGCTTGGTTTTATTCTAAGATACAGAAGACACTGTAACTTAATTGAAAATAACCATTCAGTCATGGTGATAAGGCATATATATGTCCTGTAATTCTCAAAATCCCACGGTCTTTAATGCCTCTTAGTGTTTTGGGTGAATTATCAGCTACTACTGTGTGATGGGCAATTTGAACTATTTTACATCAGAGTTACCCAAAACATGTACACTGTCTGAAGTTTTGCTGTCTTCTTTTTGGTCACTGTACCTTTATCACTAAATACTGTCTACCCGATGTCTAACCCAATTGATACTATGTTAAAATTCTTGCTGTGACAATCATCAGACTTATTTTTATGATCTTGGAACACCAGGTTAGTGTGTTCCAAGATCATAAAAATAGAGTTAGTGGACTTGCATGAGGTTAATGGGGCTTTAAGAAAATGTTACATTTCTTTGGCACGAGATAAGGTTCCCTTCTGATGGGAGCCCTGTCACTTTTTAAGATATAACAACTTTCTCTGTCAAAGAGTTGAGATATTAGTCTGTGTGAAATGATTTATAGTTTTTCCTTAGCTTGCCTGCTGAATCTTAGGCAAAAAATAAAAAAATCTTCTGGCCGATGCCAATAGTTTCCTTTTGGTATGCATGTAGAAATGTGTTACCACGAGAGCTAGTGAAAGCATTCAGATATAACCAGAAAAGCTGTGCTGACAACAGGAGCAGTGATCTGTTCCTGGAGTCAGACTCGCACAGACAGAATTTGAAACGTTCAGAAAAGGGTTAAACTCCTTTTATTCGTTTCTAGGGTGACTTCTGTCTAAAAATGCAAGAGTACAAGTAGGTATTAAATACGTCTGTAACTCGCCACTGCTAACGCTCATGTCTGCGCAATATTTCTGCTGTTTTCTTATCTCAGATATAGCACAAATGGTAATTTTTAACTATTTCTACTATGTGCTTCCTCCACAAAGCACAATGCAGTAGCACAGCATAAAAGCAGAATTTAATAAATGCAATAAAAAATAGTTTTAAGGAGCCCAAGATACCTTCTTGTCCAACATTACAGGACAGTAAAGGGATTTGCAGGGAAAAAACCTCACATAATGCCAATTCCACCTATTCTCACTAGAAGTTTGCAACACAGAGGACTTCTAGCCAAATTACACTGTCATTTATTGTTTTGTTCTAGCTTGTTCACAAATGAATTTGGAGAGTTCCTATGATATGATCCTTATCAGAATATATATACACACAATTGCATAAGGGAGGATTGAGAATATTTTGGCAGATCTGGTTCCCCTTACGCGTTTGCCATGCTATTTCTGCAACACCAGTGGGGTTCCCTTGAGAGCATTTAAAGTCCTAATGTAGAGTGAGATATTAAGTCATAGTTTTGGAGATTGTGATTGAAATATAGCCTTGGTTGAGACAATTTAAACTGAGGTTAAGGATGTCGATGTGGAGTCCCAACTCCGCTGAAATCCTTGGTTTGCCATTGCAAACACTGAGCCTGGGTTTTGTCCCTGCTGTCTTGTGGTAGTGCTAGGAACATCTTTTCTGCCCCAGTTAAAATGTCTGCAAAGGAGTTCAAGTAAGAGATTGAGAAGTTATGTGAATTCACACATCTGTAAAACTTACTGAATGGTTGCACCTGCAAAGTTCCTCACACTATTAGCATCGAAATGAGGTCACCAGGTCTCTTCCTTTCAGCATAGTGCTCATGTTTTCCTTTCTCACTTTTCTACGTCCTTAGCAATCCTGTATTTCCGTCTCCAAAAGCATTAGCTTTAATATGCTGTATTAGAATATATTTTCATCTACACAGTTCTGTTGGTTGGTGGTTGGGCACTAGGCTGAGAAATGGAAATTTTTAATTTCTCAGGTCAAGGAACAAATCAGACTCCAGTTTTCTAGCAAACACTGTAAGCGCTATAAGCAATGTTATAAGAGAGTCCTGCTCAGTTAAAGGACCTGTCTTCAACTCCACCCTCTGAATCTCAAAGGCATGAGAATTTTCAAGCTCCAACTAGGTGGAGTTCACACATCACTGTTTTATTTTGCATCTGCCAATTCACATGCAAATTTTATGGATTCTGTGTGTAACTGTGCCTCTTCTCACCATTCAGAGCCTTAAAAATCTACCCTTAATGTTTGAATCACCCTGCTGGGGTAATGTAATACCGAACTTGAGTATGAATGAATAAATAGCTGCTTTGAAAGCAGCTTTTAGGACTTCCAACAGAATATTGACTTGATAACAAATTCTGTCCTGTTGCCTTAAGAGGCCCTGACACAGCGCTGCAAAAACCAGGTCTATGTGCAGCATAACACAACCCACTCCTAATTATTTCTGCCTAAAGTAGCTGCTGCTGTTGGATTTCTTGTCTTTCATGCTTAAAACAGCAGTGACGCAGTAGTGAGTCAGGCCTTTGCCTGACTTGCCAGGGCTAGGTGCTATATAAAAACATTTAATTTTTTTTCTAAAAGCTGGTATGTGTGTAAACCTTATAGGTCTAAGGTACGCCAATGGTGTACAAAGAACACATCTTCAACCTCCTACATTTACATACTGCCTTTT